TTGTTGGCCTGGAGATGTCACTTGAGGACGTGACCACACTTTGCCTTGGGGTGACTGGTCTGGTTTGACAATTCTCTTGTGCGTGGGCAGACCCGTTTTTGGCCGCTGAAACGCTCGTCAGTGACTTGGAGCGAGGCTTTTGCTGCCTCGCAATCCTGCGCCCCGTTACGGAGCAGCCGTGTGACCTTTTTGGGGTGAAATTGCTGACCTCCTTCCTCCTGCCAGATGCGCGGTGCGTGCGGCGGTTCCTCTCTCCGTCTGATTGCCGGGCTATTTTTAAGCGACAATAAATGCCAAAGGATCGGTTACAAGGGTCTTTACTCCTTGAGGCAACAAAAGGACAAGATACTCTCAGGCAGCCGGTGAACTCCTTCGGCAGCTCTGAAAGCCAGGCTGAAGGTTTGCCAAGGTCAATTCCTGAAATTGTAGGCCTTGCCTGAAAATTGGAGGGTGAGGAGCTCTGCCTGCTCTCTAGTGGGTCCTGTTATAGGATCTCAAGTCTTGATTGAAAAGTGATCAGCTTGTTTGTGTGCCAATGCCCGTGTTAGCCTGCCCATTGGCAACAAAACTGGCAAAGCAGCTGTGCCGCAGCCCCAAAGCTCTGGGAGGGGAAAGCTCTGCCCGTTTGGAAATTCAGGGGAGGGGGGGTCCGCTCAGCCCCTTCAGCAGGTCGGGCACACAGCACGGCGGCGCCTCTGACCGTGCTGCTGGTCACAGATTACCCGCTGCTACGTGTTGAGAGTGGGGGAACTAAGGGTTTAATAGGATCCGGTCTTACGTCTGGAGTAGCCAAAATAATTCATCAGCTTTGCTGGAAAACCAAGTGATCTGACCTTGCCAAGCTTCAGCGAGGTGGGCAATAGAGCATCTGAAGTTTTAAGAATGTGGCTTCAAGAAAGATATAACCATGTTGGCATTGCTGCACTGTGTCCTCTTCTGTGATTTCCCTCTGCCCACCCCTGCCTGCACACACACACGCGTCTGGTCCTCAGCTCTGCTCAGTTTTGCGCTTTGGAATATTCCAGAAATCTGTTAGGATCTTAGCTTGAATTTGTTGTGGTTTTATACTTGACTTATTATACAACACCTGATAAAAGATCTGCCGAGCTCTACCAAGGAGCATGACGGCCTTTGTTACCCAGGGATGCTATGGCACATGAATCGAGGCAGTAGCCTTCTCTGTGTCACCTGAATTTAGAAAGCTCTTATGTGGGTAAATACCTGGTAATTCTATGTACTTACAGGACCTGACCCACTCTTCTTTTCAGTTTCTCGATCAGTTGGTGCAAACCATCAGCTCTTTGGCTGGCTGGCTCGCTCCTGGCCGGGTCAGCTGGAAGGGCTGAGGGACCCCAGCTGCGGGGCAGGCACACTGCCGTGCTTTTTCTTCTAATGAACGTTATAATAATTGTTCAAGGAAGGGCAGGCTGTGTTGCGCCCTGCAGCTCAGTCTGGGTTGCGAGGGACTGCTCGGGATGGCGAAGGCTTTGCTAGCGGAGGGTGATGGGCATCGCTGGCACAGCTGTGAGAAGCCCCCGTGGCCCCGTCCCAGTGAGCTCGCACCTCAGCGCCAGCAGCAGGGCTGCTCCCCTGGGGCCAGGCGCCCCCTGAGCCGCTCCTCCAGGCTGGGGGTTTTGAAACCTCCCACGGGCGATTTGGGATTTTTCTGCTGCTGCTTTGAAACCCGGAGCATCAGAGATGCTGGGGAGGGTCCCCCTGGAGTGCCGTCGGCTCAGCTGTCCTTGGCTCTGTCTGTCCCCCTGCGCTGCTGCTGCCTGTATGCATATTGCAAGCTCATTCTGATGTGCGCTAATGCTATTATCCTCCAGAAATTGAAATCAAGTCTGAACCTATAATGTTTCACTGGGAGGGAATTGGGGTTATATATTCCTGTGTACAGCAGCATTCTATTTCAGTCATAGCATTTAATTATGATTGGTGTGTTAGTGCCCACCAGAGCATAACAAATTGTCATTATGTTATTCTGCTGAGTCTAATTTAATTGGCAAGTTGTCACAAAAGCAATTATCCATCATTTATTTTGTTGCCATAACCACATCTTGGAGAGCACCTGCTGTCTGAAGTGGAAAGGCTCTGCAGTCTCTTGGTCCTGGATTTCTTCCACTTGCCTGACACAAAGACACCATTTCCTCCTCTTATTTAAAAATATGCTCCTCATTTCCCAGCGTGGGCTCGTGAGCAAGGCTGAAAATGCTGGAGGAGATGCTCTGTGCAAGTAATGAGCCCGGTTCGAGCATCCTGAGGCTAGTGTGAGTTTTGGAGGCTTGTCCCGTTGCAGAGCTCTCAAGCCAGCCCGGCGCCATGGCTGTGAGTTGGGGTCGGGTGAGTAAGTCGTGGTTCCTGTCTGTGTCTTCACTTCTGGAAAGTCA